ACTTATGTTTCCTAATATATATATCCTATCTATCTATCTATCTATCTATCTATCTATCTATCTATCTATTATCTATCTATCTAATAATTGGGTTTCAATTCAAATTTTATTTCAGATTTTTTGAATATTTTGATGTATTTCTTTCCATATATATATCCTATCTATCTATCTATCTATCTATCTATCTATCTATCTATCTATCTATCTATCTATCTATCTATCTATCTATCTATCTATCTATCTATCTATCTATCTATTATCTATCTATCTATCTAATAATTGGGTTTCAATTCAAATTTTATTTCAGATTTTTTGAATATTTTGATGTATTTCTTTCCAGTAATTTTGGGTGTTTTTATGTAACCAGCTCACACGATAAAATGATCCATCTTTATTATGGTATTTACAACATTTATTGTTACATGATTATCTTGGTAATTATTGATGGAGTTATATATCATCTGTAAAATATTTCATACTAATTTTCTTTTTATATTTTGGGGAATATTTTATTGCTTTTTCCATAGTTCTTCCCATTGTTGCAGAGTAATTATTTTTTTGAAGCTTTGTATCCACAATTTGATTTGTTCCAATTCCATGTCACATTTCAATAGCAATTTATGTATTTGTCCTAATAAGTGATCTTGGTTTTGTATAAATGTTTCAAATTTCTTTCTCAAGGTCCCTCTTTCTTTCTTGAAATCATTTTTTAATTTTCTAGCAATTTGTAAATACATCAATTATGATAAATTCCTACCTTCCCTGAGCAGTTCTTGCTGTGTTTTTAGTCTGTTTCCTGAATCTGGATGCAACATATTGGCATAAGTGATTAAATGTGGGGGGGAAAAAACCTGTTTTGAAGAATACATATCTTCTTTTTTGGGGGGGAAAGGGAACATCGAATGTTGTAGAGAGAGAACTACGCAGAGAAGTTGAAGATTTAAAGCTCCGTCTGCAGATGGCTGCTGATCATTACAAGGAAAAATTTAAAGAGTGCCAGAAGCTGCAAAAACAAGTCAATAAATTTATTGACCAGAATGTAAGTTACATTTTTATAAAATCAGTTGACTATTTTGGGTGAAGCAGACACCAGAATGTGTAACCTATGTCAATGGAAAGGAGAATGTTCACATAGCTATTTAAAGCTGGATAATCTAGAAGGTTCATAAATGTGTTACTATAAGCTATTCAAATTTAATGGAAGTAACAGCTAAGGCACAGTGGACAGAGATTCACACCTATGTATAATATATACAAAAATGCAGTAACCTACTCCATTTATATTTGCAACTTTTTGTAATCTTTATCCAGAACGCTAGCAGTTGCCTATTAGAATTTATCAGTTATCCGAATGTTTTCTGAACTCTTGGATAGTATCCTTATTGAATCCAGGTATCCAGTACCCGTACCTGAAAAAGTGCAGTTGCCTTCAGAAAACTCTAATATATTATTTGCAAGGGAATAACAAAAAAAATATACATTATCCAATAGAGAAGGTAATAATGGAATATTTTGTAATCTATTCATTATGGTTTGTTAGAATAGATTCTCATCAAGTGAGGAAAAGTAATTAGGATAGAATTTGATCTCCCATGGCAGAATGAAAGGCTCATTATTATGAGACAACAGCACATACATTCTTCATTACAACAGGGAGTTTCCTCTTCCTGTGACTTCCTTTTATATAGGCTAAATTCCTTATCCTAATTCTCCTAGATAAATAGTGTAATTGTCAACTTCTGTAGTAAACTCTGGTACCTGCCTTTTTTTCTGTTACACTAGCATTTACTGGTCATAATTTTACACATAAGAGTCTGTGTACCTGAAAGAACTAAGTAGGTAAATATACAATGTACTCTAAATCTATATGGCCGGAAATGTAGCCTTAATGATAGATGATTCTTAAAACTACCAAATTAATCTTGCTAGGCTAAATTTTGTGATGCATTAAGATGACCTACTATATTAAATATTGCAACAGCTGTATGTAATTTGACTTATATTATTTCTCTTGGCTTCTGTTAGCATCCCATTTAATCATTAACCAAGCCAGTCCTCTGATTTTCCCAGTAATAGGTTTGGAATTACTGCAAAATAGTAAGAAACACTATTTTTAGCATATGGGTGGTAAACATAAAGGAATAGAGGGTTTGTAATTTGGACAAGAGAAGTGTCATTGGCTAAGGGAAGGAAATCAGGTTAACTTTGTATTTCCATTTTGTTCTAATAATAGGAAGACAATCAGACCCTATCAGTTGAATTTTAATACTGGATCTGTTCAATATATGCAATGCCCTAATTAGATTAATTTTAATCTAGTTTTTACATTTTCAGATTTAATTAAAACCAGTTAAATATTACAGTATTAGAAGTCAAACATTCCTTTTGTGATGGTCTTTCCATTACCAGAAAGCAATAACATTCAGAGTGAGTCCAGTTTTCTTTGTATGTTAATATGTAGGATTTCAAAACAGTATTTGGGTTTGATTTTCAAATCCAATTGCAGTTAGAGGTGTATATGGAAATACTTTTTAAATAATAGATTTATAATACTTGAGGTCACTATGTTAATCGTATGCAAAAGTCACATTTAGGTTATTTTTCCATGTTACTATAAATATGAGCTATGATAAAACGATGGGTTATGCAGCTGTTGGAATATTAGCAGTCATGATCTGAACATTGGAATTTTTTTTGGTGAAACTCAGGGCTATTAGAACACTGCAATAATTATATTCCATTTTTTAAAATAAAGTATTTAAAGGATCACCCATTTCCACATTAGCATCCATGTGCCTTGATCTTCTATAGAATATTCAGTACAAGAATCTTTTATATCACAGTCATGCTATAGAGTGAAAAAGGAGGCTTGCAAATGTTGTTAAAGAGGCTAGATTGTGCTGACCAAATTATATGAGATCATATTAAGGTTTCCCTATTAGGCATTTTAGATAAAATTTGTTTCTTAACACAAAGTCTTGATTTTGGCTTAATTGGTTCTGTATTTTAAGGATTATTTATTTTTATTATTTTTTTTGAAGAGCTTGATCTAGAACCCTTTTAATGAAAGAAATGTTTTAAATAAAATCTTTTTCATAAAGAAAACTTCAGGGGATCAACCGAATTTGACAGATGGTTCAAAAAGTGAAACTCCTACGGTCGAGGCTGGTGATAAAACATTACCCGCATCTCCAGGTATCAACTGCTTCTGTGCTCCCTTAGAAAAATAAAGCTGCAATCTAAAGATCCCATATATACTTTGCATTTCTCTTCCACTGGCAACTCCTGGAAAACTGAAAGAGTGTTCACAGGAATGATATTGCATAAGAGGCAAACCTGGATGAATTAATTACAATCCAGTTTTTCTTAGCATGGGAATAGTGTTGTCAAATGCACATAGGGCTGTCTTACAGGTGATTCATCATGAAGCAGCCTAGGAATTTCATATTTTGCTTTAGTCAAAGTTCTTTTGAAAATGCAAGGATTTCATCCATGTAGCAACTCTTTTTATTGATTCCAGAGAATAAGGAGAATGCTTAAACTATTCTTGGTCTGTGATTTAGTTAGACATGAACATTTTAAACACTGTATATTTCTATTCCATGTTACCTTCCACCATGATATTTAAACGGTGCATTGCAATTGTAGAATTAGATGGCTATATCATGTGCATTAAGCCCATGCTATCAAACTTATTATTCATAACTATATTATATTACTTAGTATTTTTATAATGCAAGGACTAAATTATAATTTTACAGTAATGGCGAAGAGTACCCTGTAGTGGGATGCTCCTCTTCCTTTTTCTGATAGGGACGATCAGGACTTTAACCCTCACGTGCAGAAAGGTAACCACTGCCCAGTTCCAAATCATACTTGGCTACGGTTTGCAGGTCTTTGTCTAAGATCCTCTTGTGGCCTTTTTCTTTGCTTCCCTTTTTTAGAAGAGAGAGTTTGCTATGGCTGGGAAAGAGCAAGAGCTCAGCCCTTTCCATCTCTGCTGCTAGGAAGCCAGATCTAAGGAATTTGGGAAGAACATGAGGTGAAATAGCTTGTGGCAGGCAGTTTCCCTCTTCTTGGGAACCTCTGGCTCCAGTAATACCTTGCAGAATGCCAGCTGCACTCTGTGTACCTCTTTCAGCCCTCATTGAATCCTCCTCTATCCTTATGGGGGATCAAGAGGCCTGGGCACCAGACAGGACAGAATCTAGCAAGGCTAGGGGTCTGCTTCCTCCATTGACTATGGTAGATTGTATAGCAGTTAATTCAGAGTTCAGCAGCTGGATCCCCCAGATCATCCTGGTTGAGGTCTTCTTGCCCAGTGACCCTGGCTTCTGTGCTCCAATTTTTGGCATTGTAGGATGGGGACAAACTTAGAATGCATCCCTGTTCATATCTTTTTAGGAGCGAAAAAGGCAAGAATCACCGTTTTCTTTTTCAGCAGTACTGCTCTTTTAGGCAATGGCTAAAAATGATCTCACAAAGAATGCAAGTGAAAACACTGCTAGTTGTTTTCTGCCTTCACCAGTCTTATCCGGGGAGGCTATCCATTTCAGCTAGCCTGCCAAACAAAGCATTGGGGGAGGGGAACCTCCTGCTTTGCAGCATCAGCCTGCTTTTTCTAGGTCAGGTGTCTTTATTCCCTGTTCCCTTTGATGAGGAAAGAGGGAATTATTTGCTGGAAAGCATTTCACCAACTTCACTACCCTTTTCAAATCCTGATTTTTCCATGCTTTTAAAAGCTATGTCCAAACTAATTGGGAGGAGGGGAGGGATCAGTCTTCCAAAGAAAGCTCATCTGTCCTTCGTTCTGAACATGTTTTTGTTGTCTTTACTGAAAATCAGTAAATATAAGTTCTCTGGTACCCTGGAATATGTTGTTATCAGAATGTAAGCAGACTATTCAATTTAATTAGGACTATTCATTATAATCATTATTTCTCAGTCAGCAGCAATGAAACAAAGTGTATTTTTCTTCAATATGTGCAGTTAGCGTCATTTCATCTGATACAGTTGTGGAGTTTTCAGAAAAGGAGCAAGATCATGAAAAGAATAAGGAAATTTCTGACAAAACAGCGAAATTTAAGAAATGCAAGCCGATGCTGTCAGTAAGTAAAACAGAAGAAACTAGCAACAGAATAAAGTAGAACTAGGGAGTCATCACAGAAAAACTCATTGTATTTAATCTGTTTACTTCTACATTTGCCTTGATGGTATCTGAAGACTTTCTACAACTTAATATCTTTATAATTCATTTAAGTGTTAATGGGAAATGAGAGACCTGTATTTATAGCCATAACTAGTTAGTCATATAGCTTATTTATTCTTTCAGTGAGGAATGCCTGTGCTTTCATATCTATGCTTATTCAGAAGTAAGTCCTGCTGTGTTGGTACATTGTTGATTACAATATTGATAGATTTCCATTGTGTAGCTCACTTATATAATATGGTTGCATAGTATTGCCTTGTCTAAATAAGTGGCAGTTGTATAAAAATAATTTTAAGAGAATTGCTGGAAGCTCTGAAATGTACCTTTTTTCCATATACAGGTTTGCCAAAATCAAAAGTGATGAAAAGTAAACCTTCAAAGAAATAGGAATATAAATTATGTGTCAGACAAATAATATGAAATGAGAAAATCAAGAAATAAGAGTTATGGATTTTTCTTGAAGGGAATGAATTACTTAATTCAATGAACAAAGCTAGTAATAAATACTATTTTCCAAAGATGATTTGCTCATAGTTTTCCTTGATTTTGCTAGTTCCTTGGCAAATATTTCATAACTGATTATATTGAAACTAAGGGCACTTGACTTTGTCCTTCTGGATATAAGGTATACTTGATAGTTGCAAAACTTTGTGGAGTATATTTACAGTGACCCAAACCCTAAAATGAAACTACTTAGTAAAAAAAGAATTGCATATTTCTTATGCAATACTACATAAACACAACTAAACACTTTGAAGTGTGTTTCATTGCTTTGATTCTTTAGCTAAACCAGCAAATTTATAATTTTTCTATAGGATGAGAAATTGAAATGTACTATGTATGCTGATGAACTGGCCAAATTGGAACTGAAATGGAAGGAGCAAGTGAAAATTAGTGAGAGTGTGAAGCAGCAGCTAGCTGCAGTGAAAGACCAGTATCTAGTAAGCCTAACCCTTACTTCAACAATTATTTAATATGTTTGTGCAAGTTACTACTTAAAATAATCACTGTATAGAGGGGAATTAGAGTTAGTTGCTTAACAGAAGTGTTTACTCATTTTATGGAATCATTATTGGAGCCAAATTTCTGCAATAGAACTATTATCAGTGAACATGTCGCCTCTTTCATTTCTCTTCTGTCTTCTGTGATACAGAATTATTTATTTGTGTAGCTTTGGTAGTATTATGATGGTCAACTAGCTCTTCTGAATGTTACATTTCAGCATGTCATTTATTACAAAATGAAGACAATTGTTTCTGTTAATATATAGCCTAGCTTGAAAAGTGCTCATTGTTTTGCACATGTAAAGTGAATGCAGGAACTCTATTTTGGAATGAAAGAAAAGTAAGTATTGTAGGGGACTAAGATCTTTAATACAGCCCTAAATGCCTTTAAAACTTGCATTAAATTGCTAAGTTTCTGCTTTTGTCGTATTAACAGAATTACTCTAAATAGGGAATACTTATGATAGCAACTTAATTCATTAAATTACAAATTTAAATTGATTGGAGTTTTTTGGCTTTGACCTCATCCCATTTCTGCATTGTTCCCTCCTCTCCCCAACATGCTAGTCCAAAGTCAAGTATTAGATACTAGTCTATAAAAGATGCATATCATCAAAATACTTAACGTGCTAAACCAGGTTTTTTCCTTTTTTATTCTGGCAAATGAACAGGGGGAGTCCAGCTTAAAGGTTACATTAAAGCTGTGAAGTCTGATTTCCCCATTTATAGATTGCAATTATCTTACCTTAATACTTGACAAAGATTTGGAAACCAGCAGAGGGCAAAAGTATGAAAACCAAGTACATTCAGTATAAGTGACTAGTAGAACAAGTAAATACTGATGTGATATTTGTATCAGTTACAGTACATGGAAGGCATATATTATGAATTATGGCAATAATACATGTTTTTCTGTCTGTCAGGTACCTGACATTTGAAAGTATATCTGGGGAACTGCTTTATATTCACTAGCATACTTTGTTTTAATTTGTGTTTTAAATAGATGCAGTTGGCTGAAAAAGACAGACAGATAGATGAGTTGACATCTCATTTGGGAATCCTCAGCATTGAGAAGGTACTGATTTAATGTCAGTGAGCTACTGATACTATGTTATATATTCTGTCATGTGGCAACTGGAGCTGATTTAGTACAAATAGCTGCATATGAACCAGAATATGAATAGTAGTTAGAAGAAAGCTTTATCTTTGGAAATCATTCAATGTGAGTTTATAACGTAGTATCATAGATGTTTTGAACTGTTGGGCACCTTGGATGTAAAGCTTATGAGGACACAGGGCAGTAGTTCTGTGTGATAATCAACCGAACTTGAAAATACATATGTCAACTAAACTAGAATATCCCACTCCAATTATTGACTAATACCCAAATATATAGGATTTTCTCAGCCATTTTGTGAGAATTATTGATCATGATAAGATGTATTATCATGATAATTCTCCCAAAATGTCTGAGAAGCCGTTTTGACGATGATGATGATGATGATGATGATGATTTTAGGGTGGTAGCAGATTGTTTCTATTATAAAAAATTATTTGCAAAGTTCCCTGCCATGTTGTTACCATACCAACCGCTAAGCAGCTCCTCCCAACCCCCAACCTCAAAACAAGTGGGTGTGTCATATCTGGAAGCAAATTTGTATTTTTTCAGTCTGTAAGAATTAAAATATAATAGGATCTCAGCCATGATAATTTTAGAAAAGATTTTATTTTTTCACATTTAGAAATTGGTTTCAAATTACTTTAGATGAAACCAAAAGAATTAGTTTAAGTTTTTTGTTCAGAAAGAGTTTAAGCATTAAAGCATTGAACATTTCAGCATGAACATATGTCTGTAGGTTGTGTTTTTAGCATAAATTTGGCTGATGACATTCTGTGTTCATTTCAGTTTTACCAATAACAAAATAGAATATATCGTGTTAAGTTAACAGGTACTTTTTTTATGAGCAATAATTATATGTCAACTGTTTTTGAGCTGATAAAGGTTTAGAATCAAAGGCCCACTATGAGTAAATCTTGTATTGTTCTTCATTTTAAATTCCTGTATGTCCTATCTGTAGCTGAACCATTCACCTAAAATGATTGCATGTATCAACCTCCCTTGCATGAGGTATCATGTTTAGTATATATGTTTGGTATTAAAAGCTTGCGTAAGCTAGTAAGTAAAGTATTTTATCATTTTCTTAAATGAAAAGAACTTCCCTAAATTTAAGTCACAATGGCTAGTATGTACCTATTATAAATAATTAGATTTGTGTAAGCCATGTGAAGTACCATTCAAATGACAACTGCTTCAGAAACCTTATATAAACTTAAAAGTAGCTTTCAATATAACATAATTCAGGTTACCTAAGGGGCAAGAAGAAACAATAGATAATTTCAAGCTGGATAGTTACCTCATTTAGGCAAATCTGAAGATTAAAAAAATATCTATATAGATAATAGGAATAGAGAGTGCCAAATGATGAGCCTTAAAGACTGACTTGTTCCTTGTCTCATAGCTATATTTTTCAACCTTTCTTTAGAATCCTGGAAGGAGACCAGAAAATCAAACAGAAAGGATCAAAGAAGGACAGATTTCTCAGCAGGCACTATATTTTCTCAATCCAGTTCTTAATTCTGAAGATAATGGGCAGGTTCCTGCTATACCAGCTAGGGTACCACTTCTGCAGTATGGAAATCCCTACACAACCCAGGAAACTAGAGGTTTGAGAATTCAGTTTTCGTCAGATTAGTTGTACTAGGAAAATTCCATTGGAAGTATACCCACTGTATTCTCAAAGCAACTTAAATCATTAATTGGCCATTACTTTCAAACATTTTAGCTAAAGATAAAGGTCTTTTGGAATATGGCATTCCAGAAAAGGCTTCATTGTATATAACCTAGTGCTCATTCCCTAATTATGATTGCAGATGGAGCAGATGGTGCTTTTTATCCTGATGAGATCCAAAGGCCACCCGTAAGAGCAGCCTCTTGGGATCTTGAAGATAATGTGGTGTGCAGTCAGCCTGCTCGTAATTTCAGTCGCCCCGATGGTTTAGAAGATCTTGAGGATAGTAATGTAAGTTTGAAGTAAAAATAACACTTGTGATTCTTATATTTAAGGTGTGATGTCTCCACCCTCCACCCACCCAAAGTTATCTGAATATTTCTCTCGGATAGCCTCCAGTTTGAATGAGGTGGACATAATCTCTAGCTTTAGAAAGTTCATTATAGTCAGTGACACCCATTGTCCCATTTATGAATGTATAAGTCTGTTGGAGCATTTATTCAAAGATACCAAAATTTGTTCACTCTTTGCCAGTCAGTGCTGTTAATGATATGCCCAGGCTACACTCATTCAGTGATTCAAACAATCAGAAACATGGCCAGAGCATCAATTTCTACACCCAGTTCCAAAACTGGGATATGCTTAAACTCTAGCTGGATTGGGGTGCTTAAATTAAGAATTATCCTAATTGGAATACAGCACAGAAATCCATATTCTGAATTCAAAAGGGTGTAACAGCATTTGTATGTCAAGAGAAGTGTTTCTGACAGAGTAACATTTAACAAAGGGTTTCACCACACATGAACAAAATTCAGATCTGTGTTTTATTTCAGTATTTCAAATAAGAAAATGAACAGCAATATAAAAATGTTAATTTCTTTAAATGCCTATTTCACATGAAGATAGTTGCTAGCCCATATATATACAGTGTCTACAGTATACATATTATATTATACAATTTGTATAAAATGTGATGGAGTTGTAAAATATGTGACACTATTTTTTTGTATCTATTAACTTTAAGAAACACTTGAATAAGTAATATTCTTTTATGAAGTCCTTCACTGTTGCACGTATAGTGGTATCATGACCTGCTTCTCATTTAGTCTAGT